ACATGAAGAAATTGTAATTGACAGCCCCTTTCTTGTGTTTCGGGAAATACAGGCCTGACCCCAAAGCACATGTGTGGCAGAGGAGGGCTTGGGAGAGGCAAAACGCCAGCCCACACCAAACCTATACTGAAGGCCCAGGAAGGAAGGCTTAGCAAGGAAGGCATCTGGCAGCTCCATCCTCCTGCTTAATTTAGAGTCTTAAATGCCAACGTCCCTTCCATCATGTGTTATCTCATTCAAGCCTCCAAACAATCCCTGAGGTAGGAATTATACATCTCAATTTTATAGATAAGGAAAATGGGGTTCACAGAGGTTAAGAACACACAGCGAGGAGGAAGCCAGAAAAAGCTGGAACTGGAAAGCTGGCCTAATGCCAAATTCTGTACTCTTCGCACCAGACCATGCTGCCTTTAAGTGGTTCAGTTGTTGTCATTATTATTATAGCTGTTGCTGTTATTTTTATTGCTGTCATTTTAACTCGCCTTCAGGGCGCCCTCAGCACCTGCAGCTCCCACTGCCTTGCGCTTTCCTCAGTGACTCTGCGAGGCAGATGGGGCAAGGCAGGGCCGATGTCCCCACATGGCACATAAGAAACCAAAGCTGAGACCTGTACCCAGGAAGTGGCAGAACTGAAACTGGAAACTGAGTCCTATTATGTGTCACCCCTATTTTATATTTATTTGCTGAACTCCCCAATGGCAGAGACTAGATCTGATCCATCATTCTCTTCATACCCTTGGTACAGGCTGGATACTCCAGAAATGTTTGCTGAGCTGCGCTGAGTTGACCTGACTTGAGAGAGCACCGAGTCCTAACTACTAGACCACCGGGGAGGAGATTTGCTTGAATAAATGAAAGTCCTGTGCTGAGTGAGACGGTGCCCAAAATGGAGCTGCACAACATCTGGCCGCAGCCGCCTTCCTCCAAGTCGGGCTGAGCTGGTCCGAAGTGACCTTCAGCCAGAGAGGGATCAGTCCTAAGTGTACCTTCCTCTCCTCTTGGGAGCTTGGTTCAGGCTGGTCTCGGGGAGTGCCATTACTGGTCACCTCCTGTCCCTGTCCCCTTCCACGAAGAGGCACTCTAGCCAGGACCCCACATTTCCCCCCTCCCCAGGCCCTGCCTGCCACAGGGTGCTGGATGGGCCCACTGCTGTGCCTGCCTCTGTGTGTCCTTCACCACACCCTGCGCTGCCTCCAGCTGCCTCTCTGGCCACCCATCTGTCCTTGTGGAGTGGGAGAAAGATGGGCTCTTTCTTCTCAGAGGCAACCTTATTTCTGTGCCCTGGATTCTATCTTGTCCTCCATCCTCAGAGGCCCTGCCCCCAACCTTGGCTTCCAGGGCCTCAGATGCCCCCTCCCCAGACCGACTAAGTCACTAGACATAGAGTGTGGGCCCCCCCAATTTTTTAAAACTCTCTAAGCTCTAATATGCATTCAGAGTCTTGAGAACAATGTGCCTTTAAAAAAAGAGAAACAGAATTAAATAAAATACAACAGAATTGAATAGCGTAGAACAGGATATAACAGAAAACAGCAGAGTGCTTCTTTGCACATTGTAAGGGCAAGTATCATTTCTTCAAAGTTTTGTTTTAATCATGTGTGTGTATGAGTGTGAGTAGGTGTGTTGTCCCAGGTCACGACGTAAATTTATTTCTTGCTGTAGATCATGGTAATTTATTTTGGAAAACATTGCTCTAGTGCCTGCCTTATCTTGCGATTCTCCTCCACAGTCAAAATCCCTGACAGAAAATCTACCCTCACTGCCTCTCCGTCTTCATCGGCTTCTACAGCCCCACCCCCAGCATGTCACTGGAGCTTCTGCTGAGGTTTCCATGATCTGCACCTTCCAAATCCAGTGGCTTCTTCTCAGACTCCTTGTCCTCCCACCTTTTTGTGGGTCCACGCGGTAGACGACTCTCTTTTTCCTGAAATCCCCTCTGTCCATGGAGACCACGTTGTCTTCCAGATTCTCCTGACCATTCATTCCCTGTCTCTCCCCAGCTAACCCTCTTCCTCCTTACACCTCAATGTCTTAACGCTCAGTATTCTCTCAAGCTTCTACTTTTTCTTCTCCTTTGACAGCCTCTCCTCCCAGTCAATGGCTTCAATTACTCTGTGCACGAGACTCCAAATCCATGCCCCCACATTTTCCTTTCTGGAGCTCTGCCTGTGCAGATCACTAGCTATGCGCCAGTCTCCTGGGGGTGGGCCTGGGAGGGGAAACACTGATGTGTTCATTCCATGGTCGTGCACTGTACAGTTTCAGGCAGGGGAAGCAAGCAAGGGAGGATTATCATCCCCATTCCTACAGAAGAAGAAACTGACTCTCTGAGAGCTTGAGGGACTTTTCGGTAGTCACTTGCCCACGGTGGATGGGGCCCTAAAATCTGTGATGCCAGACTTCAGTCCAGAGTTCCTTCCCTTCACACTGTGCACCGATAACTCAACATGTGCAAAAGTAAAGTGACATCTTATTCACTCAACTACAGCTTCTCAACCAGAGCTTTGAATCATTAAGAATGCTTTTTAAAACAGCGATGCCCAGACTCCACCTCAAAGTGACTGAATTAGACCTGAATTAGAGCTTTTTGCTTGTTTATTTTAACTCTACATTTTGAAGTAATTATAGATTCACAAAAATGTACAAAAATGTCCAATGCACGCTTCACCCAGCCTCCCCAATGGTAACATCTTCCACAGCTATAGTGCCAAATCAAACCAGGACACTGATGTTGCTGCAGTCCACAGAGCCTGTCAGATCTCTCCAGTCACATGGGCACCTGTGTGGCTGTGCCTGTATAGCTCAATGCAGTTTTGTCACATGTACCTTCACGTAGCCACCACCACAATCAAGATACCTAACTTACCATCACCACAAGACTCCTAAGAGCTTCGGTTTTGAAAGCTCCCAGGTGTTCCTCTATGCATCCCTGATGAAGGACTACTGCACCAAGCACCGCTCCTCCCATCTCCCTCTGGAGGGCAGGGCACTGCCATCCTCTGAGTCACTCTGGCTTGAAGCTCCGAGTCATCACAGACCCGCCCTCCTCTGGCCCACCTGCCCCTGGACTCTGAGTCAAGAGGCCCTACCGATTCTTCCTTTGTCATATTTCTCAGGCCCTCGATCCCTGCCCTACCCACCATGACTCCGCGTCCCTTGCTTCTTGTCTGCATTGCTGCAACAGCCTCCTCACCCACTCCCCCTCCTCAGATGCCCCTTCCCCAGCCAGCACCACGAAGCACGGCCAGATCCCTCCAGTGACCCACTCTGAGCCCATCATGCCTCCGACCGAAACTTTAGATGGTTACTGCCATTTACAAAATCAAGTCCAGACTCAAGTGCAAAATGATATCCTCTATATCTGACTCACTCTCTTTATCTCTCAAACTCAGTATCAGCTTTCGCCTTTCTCCATATGGATTAGAGACAAATGGCATGATAATCTGCTCACCATGGTAAAGAAATGACAGGCTCCCAGATTTCTTCCTCCTAGCACGTCATGCTCTTCTCTTTTGTTATGTGAGAAAGTGCAGCAAAACTGGGCCAGGTTGCCTCTCGCTTGGGGGACGTCCTCATCCTTGGAAGGATGGCTCTTCCACCCCTTGGCCACTTACAATGTAAGAGGTGAGCAGGGCAGCAGGCCTGGTGCAGCTGAGGGGTTGGTGCATGGGGTGGGCTAGTCTGGCTGTCTGGTGTCGGCCACTGGGGAATGGGAGTTTGCTTAGGCATCCATTGCTGGGGTCCTGAGCAAGGTGATGGTGGGTAGCCCTTAGAGGTGGGAGCTGGGCCCCTTCCTGTCTCCCTCAGAAGACAGTCATCTTTAAAACTTTATTGTCTACTTGCTGCCATCCTTGATGCCTTTCCTTCCCTTGTGGTCATGGAGCACTGAGAGCCAAGTGAGTCATGAGCTCTGCCCTTCAGAAAAGCTAAAATCCCCATCACAGAGCTGATCCTGCACTTCTTACTACATGAGGATAAAATGAAAATTCACTATTGAGATTGATTATATTTCAATGATCTGATATGTTTCGGCTTTAATTGGTAACAAATTGCCTGTCTGAACTTCTCATTACAGCAACTGATTCACTGGGAAATTAGCTACCTGACATCAGAGAAGCTGAAAAGATAACACAGCCCTGTGACTATGATTTGATGACCCAGCCATCTGTTTTGAAGAAGCATGCATTATCAGAATCATGTCCATAAAAACGGCCCTATGAAGAGCACTGGTTTTTAAACTGTCCCAAAACGTGGTCTTTAAGTTTGGAGCTTATTATGGGGGTGGTATATGTGAAGGGAATCAGAGGTCATGAAATGTGTGCCAAGGCAAAGAGGTAGCTGGTAACAGCTAGAGAAGGAGATTTAATGATGTGAAGGCTTCACTGTGGTGTTTGCAGGCCTCCCGGGCCTTGCTAAGGGTTGGATGGATCAGGGAGCAGGGGATCCGGCAAAAAGGCTAGACCTTCAACAGCTCTGTTGCCATCACTGGTTTACACATCCATCCATTATCATCCCCATCAACACCGCCACGACTCCACCACCAGCAGCACCGGCAGCAGCTCCACCATCATCACCATCACCAAGATGGCACCAGTGAACACCTTCCAGGCAGAGGCTGAGGAACACTACTAAATGAAATGATGCTTCACAGAAAAGAGTCACTGCAATGTTCACTATGTACATGCAGGGGGTGGACATCAGGGTCTTTTAGCTCATCGTAGTGCACTGGAATACTGGAGGAGAGGCTGGCTGGCCAGCGAGGAAAAGCCCCAGGACCAGGCTGCTCTGGGATGCAGAGAGGGTGTGCATATGGTAGTGGACCTCTCAAAGCAGGGGCCACCATGAACCTGTTGTCTCTGAGGTGACATCCCAGAGAAGGAGCAGCCACAGACAGCTTTGAGAAAAGGAGGGCCCCAAGCTGACCCTTGTGCACAGATGCCAGCCAGGGAGCGGGCTCAGGGCCCAGGGGGCGGGGTGGGGCCCAGGGGCTGGGGTCTCACCATTGCTGCTGTTGTCGTCCACCAGGATGATCTCCTTGAGCAGGTGTGGGGGTGTGCGCTCAATGGCCGAGTGGATGGAGCGCAGCAGCACCGACAGCGCTTCGTTGACAAAGATGAACACGATGCTCACCTCTGGCAGGCTGTCAGGGAAAGACAGGTTGCGGCACCTGAAAAGAAGAATGGCCAAGCTCTCAGATCTGCCAGCAACGCAACTGGAGTCACCCAGGTGCTGGTCCACCCCAGGTCTTGCTGTAGCTTTGCGGGAGGGCTCAGGAGTCCAGATTCTTCCCAGGGCCTCTTCTTTGATACACTCAAGATACACCCTAAGTGTGCAGCAGAAAGGCCCACAACCACTGAAACGGATTTTCCCCACACCTGAGTGTGAATGTCAGTGACTATTCCAGCTGAACGGTTGTACCACGAACACCTAGTGCAGCACATGGCACCAGCGGGTAGTCCCTGAGTGTTTATTTGAGGATGACTCAATGTTTCTAAACCAATGGGATGCCAAACGCAAACAAAGGAAAGTCTTAGTATTTCCAAAATGGCAACCAACATCTAGGTGAGGCCAGATTTAGACAATCAGCCTCAGGAGAGAAAAATGTCTCCTCCTAGAAACTTCGAATGCCAAAATCCACTCTTCTTCACTCCAGGAGGCATCCTGCCTGGGACCTCCTCTCCCCTCACTCATTCAAGGATCCAGCCTCCAAAACCAGGCTGAAGCTACAGTCAGGATCTCAACACAAATGAGGGATGGAAGGACCAAGTCCATTCTCGTTTCACAGCTGAGGACACTGAGGCTAAAGAGGTTGAGTCCCCACCTACGGCAGCACCATGAGACAGCTGCCGAGATAGAATCCCAACTCTGTCCTTCTGCCAGCTGCACCAGGGTTCCTCCCTGAAGGAGAAATGGCTGTGGAAGAGACTGCTTCTAACTGTCCCATTTCTCCTAGCTCCACTGAGACCCTGAAGCCTTCTGGAGGTCTCTCACCCAAAGGACTTGAGGAAAACTCATAACAGGCTGCATACCATTCCCCATATGAAGAGGAACACACAACCCTAAAATCAGACCCGTAAGAGGCCAGATAATAAGTGCCATGGTTCCCAATGGCAACTCGTTCCCTGCAAGCATAGCTTTTGTGGGCAGGAAGCCACTGCCGGTGCCCTTCCCTGGCTAAAACTAAATGCTCTTCCAAAAGGTACTGAGCTCCCATGTTCAGTATAGCTGGGTGAAAGTCACAGCTCTGTCTAGGCCCTGGGCTTGGAGAGGAGGCTGCCTACACCCACCACTGGCTACTGCAGGCTCCAGGGCTTCAGGACTGGTGACCATGTTCCATGGCTCTGAAGTGGGAGGTGCAGCCAGGCTAGAACATGCAGTAATGAGCATAATGGCACAGGGCTTCTGCTCGGCAGTAATTAAAGTGCTGCAGGATAGGATCGGGCCTGCTCTCCTTAATAAGGAAGGCTGCAGGACAACCAGCACTGAGCAATTTGGAGAAATCATCATGGGGCCCCAGCCAGCTTAAGAGCATGAGATTAATGAACTAAAATCACCGTCTCTATGGTTTCCAGAAATTTACAGAAACTTCTCCCGTTCTATTTCTAGCTCTCCTCTCACCAAAGGAGGTGGGGAAAGGAAAAGAATTGAGGCTTTTCCCAAATCCACTTCATACTTATAATTTTAATGGAACCATCAAGTTAACAGACTGGTGTAGAATTCACTTAGTCTTGTACTTAATGGAATAAATATGTATTTTGAGCTTCCACCAGGCAGGTACTCTTTGTTGTAGGCACCGAGGGAATAGCAGGAAGTGGACAAAGTCCCTGTCCTCATGGAGCTTATGCTTTGACAGGGAAACAGATAAACATGGAAGAAAGCAAGTGAAACAATTTCGCTTAAGTGCTAAAATGAAAAGTAACGCAGGCTAAGAGGATAGCGTGATATCCTGGCAGCTGTTCTAGAAGGAATGGTCTTTCTGAGGAGCAGAGATTTGGTCAGAAACTTAAATGGCACGCAAAAGTGAGTTGTGCAAAGGTCCTGAGGGGCTGAGTGAACAGTGCTGTGGCTGGAAAGGAGGGAAACAGCTCATTTATCTGCAGTGAAAGGATGAAGGAGATGGGGAGATAAAGGGTGGAACTTTAACAAATAAGAAAGACTGGAATGAATTCTTAAGCTCATCAAATTGTGAATACAATTTTTATAACAGCAATTAAAAGGTTTGTGGTTGACAGTCAAATAAATCCTCTAGCTAGTAGTTATTTATGGCCATCAAGACCAGCAGCTGGGCTTTCCCTAGGCATGGAAACTGACAAAGATGAATATTATCACACAAACTACTTGTTGATTGCATTTTAAAAGTAATACCGTACATGATCAAGCAAATAGCACATGGTCTTTATTCTTCTTTCACGTAAGTATAATGGACAGCTCTCAATAAGGCGACTACATCAGTACAAGTACACTGTCCTCGCCACTGAACTCCATCAGCAGTGAAGACTGTGTCCTGACATCTCTGCACTTCCCTGGGGGTTTCCTCTTCATTCTCAGAGGCTCACTGTCTGGATCGTCAGGCTGTCCCCAGAAGTTTTCCAGAGATAGGGGTTAACCTCATTCCCCTACTCTCTCTTCCCTTCTTAATTCTGGACATAACTACCCAGTCCCCCCGTTCCAGGGAGACCAATTTTAATCTCTCCTAGTAACAGCCATGATGGTTTGAGCTGCCAGTCTCTGTAAACTGGTCTCCTGACAGTCTTTCTCCAAGAAGAACTGAAATGTTATACTTGCTTTACAAGTTAAATCCTACTGATCATTATTTTCACATGAAAGGCTTTTGAACATAAGGTTTTATGTGGAAACTCTCAAACACGCTGAACACCTAGTACATCGCATATTTGCACTGTTTATGGTCTGTCTCCCTGTGCTGTAATGAAGCTCCCTGAGGGCAGGGGCTTTGTTTTGGTGCTGTGCCATCCCCCAACCTTAGACCAGGGTCTGGCACATAGTAGATGCTCAGTGAATGTCTTTGGAATAAAACAAAGCTAACAGATTTGTTCATTTTATATAAGGCCTACATTTTACATGTGTGTCATTGATCTTAGAATGTTCCTTTTTCCTACAAACCCCCTCCCTCTGAAGGACAGTCAGGTCCTCTCCCCACCTGTTCTCCTGTCCTCTCCACTCCCGAATTTATGTCCCCAGTTTTCAGTTTCTTTATGCTGTCATTAAGTGATCCCTCCAGGCCAAACATCCTGACCTCCTTTAATCCTTCTTTTCTCTACCTCTCTCCAGAGAGCTGCTCGGGGCCTCCCAGCAGCAGCCACCGGGCTGGTGGCCTCTCTCTCCACATCACGGGGCAGGCTTTCTCACCCTTCAGTTTTTCCACATCTAACCTAAAGTGGGTTGGGGTGAGCAGAGTGGTGAAGGGTGGGCAGGATAAGAAAGACGAGGTGGGATAGTTTTCAGAGGAAGAGCACTGGAGGGGGAATGAAGGCCCCCAGGTGCTGGTCCCAGCTCTGCCCGTTCTTGCTGGGTGAGCACAGACAAGCCACTTTCCCTCTCTGCTCTATGTCTTCGTCATAAAATAAGTAGGAAGAAATAATCACTTTTCTCTCCAAAATTCAGGATCTTCTATCTCACATGTGGTGAAAAAGAGACATCTCATTAAAAAAAGTTTGCAAACTTTCTCTGCCTCCCAACCAGCACCCTGTCACCATCAAATGCCACAAAAAACATCCCCTTACCACCATCATGACAAGAGAGGGTGACCAACTCATCCTGGTTTGTCTAGGACTTTCCCAGTTTCAGTACTAAAGTCCCAAGCAAACCAGGACAGTCAGTCACTCTGTGACTAGAACACAAGCTTCTTGAGGGCAGGGACTGGCCTTGCTCACAGCTGCATGCCCACTGCCCAGCATGTGCCTGGCAAACAGCAGGCACATAGTCGGCATTTGCTGAATAAGTTCCCTTTCGAATTCCCCAACACAGAGGTACATGTCACATCAACACAGTCACAGTTCACATCTTCATCTCAATAGTGAAGCAGCACTTGCTTTGCTCAGGGGAGGAGGCGAAAAGAGGGAGGAAGGGGCGCATGTCAGGCAGGATGTCCACACATGTCCTGTTCACACCCCTCCTAATCACCCCAGGACACTGAACTCAGGACAGAGGCCTTCGTGCTGCAGCCCATGTCCTTCAACAGGAACGCAGCTCCAAGCGCTGTCATGGAAGAGGATTGCACAGGACCCAAGCACAGCACTGCTGCTCCAGAGTCCAGCCACCAGCTTCCACAGTTGGCCCAGCCCTGGCCCCTGGACCTTGCCTCTTGTGTTCCCACTGCGGAGACGTTCTCCCCTACGTGTGCGATTGGGCCCCCCCACATTCTGCTCCATTCCTACCGCAGCCAGGACCGCGCCCCCACTCCCCGCCACCCTGCTCCTTGCCCTGGTGTCTGCTTCTGCAGTCCTGCTTCTCTGCTCGCTTCTGCAGAGGACGAGGGCCAGAGGACGGCGAAGTCCAAGGAGCCACACAGGTGTAACGGGCCCTTCCCCGTTTACGCTCCTTGGGAATGCCTAACTGTGTAAGCCCCATCCCTTACTCATTTTGAGAAGAGGTGCACTCTCCTATAAAATTAAGCCATAAAAGTTCCCTTTTTACTTTCATTCTTGTTCAAAGTCGAGCCATTTTCCATTAGAGATAAAAACAAGGCATTTGTGAGAGGGGAGTGATGAGGCTGTGGAATACGCCGGAATTGATGGTCATGATAAACTCCACTTTATCGATCTCTGCTCACAGAAGGGGATGCGGGGATGGGGCGCGACAACACAGGGAGCCCCTGAGGTTGTTTTGAGTTGTTTATGAGCCAGATTTACATTGAGAGCTCAGTGCCCTTACCTGCGGAGCAAGGGAAGCAGTGGAGGACCCAGGGAGGTCAACCCTCACTCCCGGCTACCAGATACGACCCGGGGCAGCCCCAGACACCATCCACTGCAGTCAGACACCCACATATTAACAGATCCTCCCCTTTCTTTGACCTCAGGAGCTCTACAAGACCCTAGTCCATCAGAGCGGATTACTCATGCAGGCTGCTTGACCTAGGGCTGGGAAAAGTGGGCAGACCTCTTCTAGGATGAAGACCAAAGCAAAACGTGAACTGGGGCCCGTCTGCCA